CTCTCTCTCTCTCTCTCTCTCTCTCTCTCTCTCTCCCCCCCCCAAAATGGAGGGTGAAGGAAAGATTGACAGGGACAGGAAAGCACGGAAATGAAGAGACGAGAGAGAGAGAGAGACAGAGAGAGAGAGAGAGAGAGAGAGAGAGAGAGAGAGAGAGAAGGAAAGGCGACAGCTTGCACGCGTTGGCCCAAGTGTTCATGAAGATCGAGGATGTCGCAACGCTGCGGCAACAGAACAAAATTGATGAATGATCAAGTGCGCGCCCGCCATCTATATTTGGCAAACGCAATATATAAAACAATCCGAGCATGATAACACGCATTCAAATATTTATTTCTGAAAGATCGATCCATGGATATGGATAGCATACGTAAATCAATCAATAGATTAATAAGTAAATCAATCGATCAATCAATCAATCAATCAATCAATCAATCAATGAATCGATGGATTGAGATGGATCGATCAATCCGTGAATCCATGAATGAATGAATCAACCAATCAATCGGTCAATCGATCAATCAGTTCATCCATCAACTTATCAATCAACTAGTCAGTCAAAAAAACTACGTCAATAAATGAGCAGGCCGGAAGCCCCAGGCTACGCATATATCGAGAAATGAAAACAGGCGCCAAAGAAGGTAGAGACTTTCATCCGCTACGTTATCGATGCAATGTCCAAGATCAAATAAAGGCAGACAGAGAGAAGCATGGGCAGCTTGTAAGGAACAGCCACGTTCGCAGAGCGACACGTTCCAGCGCGACAGGAAGGCCACACACACACACACACACACACACACACACACGCGCGCGCGCGCGCGCACGCACGCACGCACGCACGAAGGAAATAGAGTAACGTGAAGATTGACAAGGCGACACGGTGACAGACAGGCAGAAAAAAGCAAAGAGAAATATGGAAAAGCCAAAAGGCAACTTGAAGCTAAATATAACAGTGGGTGTAGACTCAAGAAAACAGATTTCTGTTAAATAGTGCATCACAACCGGCGGCTGCCGATCGAAAATGATGGAGAGCGTCAAGTCAGACAAAAGGAACACGCGACGGAAAGTTGAACCGGTTGGATCAAAACAAGTCCTTTTAACTACCGTTACAATCCCTTCACAATCGCTGATCTCTTCTTTAAATAGAAATTTTGTTATTCCTTGTCAGTGACACATCCAGAAACGCGGCAAGCAGAGAGAATGCCGTGCACGAACGCCTCTGGGAGAGGTGACTAGAAACACAGAGAAACCGGAACAACAGACAGATTGCGGGACATACAATGGCCTCTCTCTCTCTCTCTCTCTCTCTCTCTCTCTCTCTCTCTCTCTCTCTCTCTCTCTCTCTCTCTCTCTCTCTCTCTCTGTGTGTGTGTGTGTGTGTGTGTGTGTGTG